CGCGCCTATCAAAACAACATGTCCATTTACTATGAAGCGAAACTAACGACGTACATCTAAAAAGTTCTGCTTTGATTCTTTTTTATCTCTTAGTATTGATCAAAGGATCAACAGTTTTTAAGGAGAGATCAGTGTACTGTGTTTTAACAGCGAAGTGATTGAACGAATCTTTATGGAATATTTTACCATGACAACCCGTGTGGACATAGACGAGCATGCATCACTCCTGCACCGCTCAAGCTATTACCTGCCTCTTCCAAACGAAGACAGGCAAAACAAAAGATCCATCAAACTGTGGGCTGTAGGCTTTACCTTGCTGTTACTATGGAATATTGGTGGCCCATGTGTGTAAATGATTCGTAGTGTTAATTGTTTCAAAGACAATTCCACTGTCTATTTTTGTGAGAAAGGCGCAGTGTTTCCATATTCCGAATAACTGGTGATAACATGGCTTGCTACACTCTCTGTTTTCACAATCATCATCATCTTGGCACTGCAGAAAGTTCCAGATTTTCTTGGATACAAAGCCATCCTACATCAGCTGAAATTTCTTCCCTCCTGTTGGACTCTGATGATTCTTTTGTTTGTATCCTTGACCAGATACATCAAGCCCGCTATATCTGCCAAATCCATCAATTCCTGGATGATATTTATGGGTTTGGCTTTTAACTATATTCTTAGAACTTTATTTGTTGGCTTTTTGAATTATACGCAGTCGAATTTTTTGAAGCGTCAATATCCCAGTTGTATCTTTGTGTTGTCAAAGCTTTCCGTGCTGGTGTTATTTGCCATCTCTCTAATGAACTTGCTTGCCACCATTTTAGAACTTACTGTTCAAGTTCATAAGGTGCATCGGTCTATGGGAGAACAACACTCAGAATATTTTGAAATGATAAATGATCTTCTGTGTGACTTTGGTATAACTACTTTTAGATTCAAAATGACGAGTTTCTTTTGGCAGAAACTTTTCATTGATGATAAGAATATTCTCTCTAACCGAGCACCTTTGCAGTGATAACATGGATGATAGAGCAGTAAAAAACAGAGAGTGTATAGATTGGTGGGAGTGACGGCCTCTCATCCCATTTGGCGAAATTTTCGATTGAGTATCGAAAGTAATCGGAAATTTGCTTCACCACGCTCTGTGATTGGTCCAGAAAATTTAAACTCTCGCTCCCTTCGGAACTAACCAGCTGCAACGCTAAACCCAATTGCGACTCGTACCCTCGCGTGTTTCCACGACCTTTGCACTTTTGCTTGGTTTTACTTTGAATTCGTATCTGTTCTCTGAGATAATATCCTCTCCTCTGATTGGCCGATGTATCAACTTTGCCTTTGGTTTCAAGACACGCAATCGAAATGCACTATTAGGAATTCTATTACTTTCTATCTAAGCGAACGACCGAGAAAATGGCTCCAACCAATTGTAAATAGCCCGTTCCCCATCTCTCTGGTTAAAAAAGGCACATGACATAATATTCGTGCTTTCGTGTCTCAAGCCAAATTGTTAGTTACTTCTTAGATGTTTCCCTTAACATGTAAACGGGTTTAAATCCTAATATACCAATTTCATTTCATTTTTATTACTGAGACTCATTATATTTTTATTTGCTTGCTCTTTTTGTTACGTACACGTTCAAACGCAAATAATTTAGTGTTTAAACTAGTAAAAGGTGAGTTTGATTCAAAGGTTTTGCGTATCCTCAATGCACATATTTATAGCGCAAAATCGTTGCAGTGAACGGCTTTCAACTTGAAAAGCGCCTAACTCCAAGTGGCACCATGAGTGTTCGTGTCAATCAGGAGAATCTCGGGCGTGAGTCATCGATTCCCACGCACGAAATTTGGAATGGTTTTAATCTAATCTAAAATTTCTTTGCTAATGGGGAGTCTATATTTCCATCAGTCTGTTCTAAACGGCGAAAGATTAGTCTTTAAACGCAGCCAAATAATTTCCGCCTGAGTGCAACACCAAATCAACACGCCGCTAGTTGTATGTTAGTGAATATTTTATAATGGTGGTGTCTACGTTAGTGCGTGACAGTCTGTCACTTCATTAAGCAAGAAACAATAAAGTTCCGCAAAGAAACTTGTGAAAAACAAAAGTAAATGCGAGTTGAAAAGAGTTTCGTAAAATAAATACCTGCTTTAGAATGTCTGTTTTTAAGGAGTGCGTGCCAGAACTCGTAGGAATGGAGATGCTTCGTGACAAAAGTCACGCATTGAGACCCTAAGGCTGCTTTTTTCTGTTTTTAACCCCATTTGTCGAGAGCATATATATTAAATGTAATTTAGGCTAAGTTGGGTTGATGGCTACTGCTACCTGTTGTAGTCATCTTTTTATATGATAGCGTTAAGACAGAAATTTAGTAGCAAACATTTCTTCACATCTTTAGTGGCTATAGAGAGGATTTCAACTGAAGTTCCAGTATGTGAACGTTGAAACAGCTGACAAAGAAATTACTCAGGATGTTTATGAAGACAACTTACGAGGTTCGCTTCAAGCTTCAGTTACTTTACTACAAGAACATGCACTGTGTATTCCGGCTGTATGTAGATCGTAGCAGAGGCACAGCTGCATGTATGATCACCCCGTGGGGTGTGCTTCCTAGTTATAGGTCACGATCACGACCGAACTAACTATTGACTATAGCATTTTCAACAGAGTTAATTACAATAATGGGGTTGCACATTTTCGAAATTTTGGGGGTAAGACAAGTCTAAGAAAGAAGGGATTAAATGACGGAAAGTTCGCAGTTAGAAGGTCGTTACTAGCACGTATTACCAAAAGTGACTAAGATGGGGTCGATAATTAGCCACAGAATAGACTATGGTGGGATAGGGGTTCTGAAAGGCCAACGGAAGATGCCCCACAAAAATTGACCCAAGCAACCTCTCAATTTATCTTATATTTTTTCTTCTACAGGTGGTTTTGGCGTTACCATCATGACAGTCTGCCCCGAAATAAATCAGCCACAGATATAGAAATCAGCCAAAATAATACTAATCTGGCCAAGACAACGAAATTCCTGTTATCCAGTGGTCTTCAGTTTGTTGCTGCTATGGCAACTATTTAGGGCACTTCCGAACATGATTCGTGATGTTGCTCGCATCAGGGTCCAATCCACCGCATATCAGTGCAATGAAATGCCGCTTTGCCTTTTTCAGAATAGCTAACAATAGTGTGGCTGGCTTCGCTGTGTATTTTCACCGCTGGCTCAGTTGTTGCTTTTCGGAATGTTCTACAGTTCCCCGGTCACAAGGCAATTCTATATCAGCTCATGTTTGTTCCTTCATTCGTGACTTTGGTTCTTCTTCTCACCCTCGCCTTGTCATCAACCTATTCATTTCTATCGAGTCTTCTTCATCTTGGGTCATAATTTTTTTCCTCGATAGTAAGTTATATTCTCAAAAGTTTAGCTGTAGGATTTCTAATTTACACCCATGGGCGGCCGTCACCGCCAAAAATACAAAAATAAAATTGGTTGGTAATTAGTCTAATTGTCTTTTGGAGAACGCTTGATCTTATCTTAAGAGATTTATTTAAAGTCGCCTTTGGTGAAATGAAATATTCAAACAAAAATGTTTATACAATTCAGGAGCTGCATAGCCAACCTTGTTGAACTGATTCAAGAAATTGTCGAAATGACAAACGGTTCAGCTAACTGTCCTTTGGTTCAGTAACTTGACAAAAACGGTCCAGAGTGGTGTGAAATGGCCTAGGTTATCGGCAAATGGTTAATCATAGCCGCAATGGTTTAGTATCGCATCAATCTACTCACCGTAAAGTGAAATGGTTTAGCGTGACCCCAAATGGTTTAGCGTGACGACAAATGGTTTCGTACAAACCGAAATGGTTTCGTGTTACAGCGGTTGGTGCAGTTGATTACGCCGTAACCGCCAAAAATACAAAAGTGAAATGGAAAAGTCAAGCTTGAAATTGAATAGGATAAGAATCTCAAGGGCGCCTCAAAACTATAAAAACTATATAGTTTTTAGGCGCCCTTTAGTTGTAGTTTCGTCGTCTTAAAACCATGAATCGCTTTATCACGTTTCCCAGCTATGGTTCTTACTGTCTAGACGGTAAATGTGCTGTCGCGTAATTATAAAATGATGCATTTTATCTGTATTTTTGTTGTTCCTTTTGTTCCGAAATATCATTTATTTACTGATATTGCGGCAAGATGATGAGGGCATAAATTTATTCGCTAACAGGCTAAAATAGACAAATGTGAAAAAGGTTATTACCGGAGTGAGGCTCTTTGAGTCCAGTGGACAAGGACGACGAGCTCGAGGCTACAGAATTAATTTTTTCCTGTGGTGAACATCGAGTGGAGGGCCTGGCGAATACCTCGTTCTGGCGAATTTCGCGCCAAATTGGATCTGAATGACGTAGGTTGTGACGTCAGATCACACATAGACTGTTTCATTTCAAGCTTGACTTACCCATTTCCCTTTTGTATATTTGGCGGTTACGGTGTAAACCAACTGTTGTAACACTAAACCATCTCGGTTTGTACTAAACCATTTGTCGTCACGCTAAAGCATTTGAGGTCACGCTAAACCATTTTACTTTACGGTGAGGAGATTGATTCGATACTAAACCATTGCGGCTTACGATTAACCATTTGCCGATAACTTAAGCCATTTCACACTACTCTGAACCGTTTGTGTCAAGTCACTAAAGTACAGTTAGCTGAACCGTTTCTCATTTCGACACTGAACCATTTCAGTTAACACTTGGCCACTCATGTTTTCATTGAATCAGTTCAACAAGGGTGGCTACACAGCTCCTCAATTGTATAAACCATTTTTTGTTTGAATATTTCATTTCACCAAATACGACTTGTCCATTTGTATTTTAAATAAATCTCTTAGGATAAGATAAATCGTTCAATAAGACAATTAGACTCTATCTGTTATTACAAACCAATTCTATTTTTGTATTTTTGGCGATGACAGCCGCCCATATGTGGGCTCTTCTTTCAAATTCAGTCGGAGAATTTCCGGCTTCAAGCTTGCACAGATTTATGGGCCAAGGAACTCCCTGTTTCATTTTCACAACGCGCCGTTGCAATTCTCCGTTCCATGACATAGCTTTCTAGTCTTTCTTAGTACTTTCTCTGTCTTAGTGACTTTGAAACATTTTGATCACGGACTGAGGAAGCAAGGTCGTAAAATAGTCAAAGGTTCCTTCCGTTTCCGCGACAGAGGTAAGAACGCATTGTTGTATCAGATTATCGAGTGTAAGGTAAATACTTTTATTTTAATTTTTTTTTAGTTGAGATTTCCTCCTTCAAATGTTCCTCATCTTTCCGAACTTTCTCTGATTTCCGACAATGAAAGACGTTCCTGCAGTTAGTGTATGACGACGATTGCCAACTTTTACTTTATTCTGGCGTGTATTAATTGTATTGCCGCTTCGTGTTAGTTACAAGCTTATTAAGCTGAGCTTGTTTGAACAAGTTACAGCTGTCGAATTCACAAAAATTCGCAGGCAATGCTTGACATTTACCTTGGACAAAATAAGTAATTCGGGAGAGTTACAAAGGATATCCAAATTATCGATTTGATTCAGTAAAAGCCCTTTTGGTCGCAACACTTTCAGTTTCGTTTGCGCGTCATGCGGAGCATGTACACAATCGTGTTTGTCACCAGCTTTCATGTCGGGCTTATGTACGTATTAACTTAATTTGCTCCTGTATTTACGATGCATATGATCAAAAAGCGATAAACATTTTCAGCGTATTTCATGTGTTTATGTTTATCATTTTATACTGTAGTTTAAAAGTGATTTTTTCTTTTCGATAGACAGCTTAGATTGTTCTTCCAAACTGTACTGTTATACTGATTTCCTTGTTAAATATTGACAAGTTGATTTTTCTTCAAATTCAGCTAGTTATTTACTACAAGAGTCCTTTCAATTAACTGCATTCGAGTTTTAGGAATCCAATTCATCAACTGGTAATGATTGATTAGTGTCTGAGTGAAGTTTTACCTTTTGTCATCTGCTTATCAACATACGATCAGTCAATAATCATATCAACTGAATGTTTCCGATCAATTGTTTTTTTTTTATCAAAACTGGTTTAGTTCTGCATGAGGCTGCATGCATCCAAGTATGTGTTTGTTGATAATTTATGTTGTTATATGGGAAGGTAGTCTTGGGATAAATGTAAAGTTCTGATTGGTTCTTACTTGGTCAGGATTTTGCCACATAGACCATCATTGCACCATACAGAAAATGATAAAACATGTAAATTCATTGTAAACTAGTTTAGTCCAAGTGACATTGGTGCATGACAATTACCTTGCTCTCTTGAGTGGTACTGGGAAATATTGCCACCATGTCATTCCTTTTCTGTTACAACCTTGGGCCAATATACCTCTGTAAAGCCCTGGCAATCAGCTGGTTATATAGAAGTTTGTAGTGGTTTTTGTAAAAGCGATATACACTTACAGGCTATTTTGAATTCCAGTTCAATTGACTTCCTTGTTACTCCACATTTATTAATGTACATGAAGACAGCCAGCAAAGATTATTTGATATTTAAAAAACAACCAGTCATGATTATTAGGAGAATTAAAGTTAGCATCAAAGACAAATCAATTTTGTGCACAGACAATGTAAATATGGAATAACTGAAAAAACAATTATTTAAATATACATATACTAATAAAGCAAAAATGTCAGCACCTGTACCAAATTTAAATCCATTTCAACATACATCAGCATGCATAAATGTAAATATTTCACTTTCCTTCCCAAAATTTGGAAAGGCACACTAGTAAAAAATGAATGGGCATGAATGGGCATCAGCTCAACTGTAGGAAATTGAATAAATGAAATACATCTTTTATAAGTTTTGACCAGTAATCTCTATTTAAAAATCAAATAAGAAAATTTTACTTTGGTGTTGTAAAATTTGTTTTTTATGAGAAACGATTCAGCATAAACTCTCTCCTCTTGTGGAGACATGGTGGTCTTATGATTAGTGAGGTGGACCCACGGTCAAGAGGTCGGTCAGCATTAGATTCCATCCACCAAAACTACCTTGGTCAAGAGGGACTGAGATGGAATATTTAATGACTTGCAAAACATAACTGAAGATTCTCGGAAATCCGCAAGTGATGTAGCCAAACATCCGAAGCTGTAAATCCCATGATTCTTGAGGAACAAACAGAAACAGCATAGCGAGAAGTTTAAGTCGCGAACCATTGATGGTAGACATGCAGATAATATAGGATACGTAAATTCTGTTGATGAGGCGCATAAACTTATTGCGGAATTTGAAACAGGATTGACGACGAAGTTTTCTTTCTTTAAAGCTGTCAAAGGTTTCAGGAACACCATTGTATATATATATATATATATATATATTGATATAGCTCTTTGGCATTACAAAGCTTTGCTATCGCTATTGTGCATTCTCACTAGTTTATCTAGTTCAAGTTCTACCACAATTGTGGAATCATTCGGATTAATTTAATGCTTACACCTCCTTCCTCGGACAGAAGTCACAAAATACTGGGGGGAAGATGCATGAGATATTTAAGGAGCAAAAATTCGTTTTTTACTGGTGTGCCTTTCCTAATTTTGGGAAGGAAAGTGTTCAATTGCCAGCACGGCATAGATAGAACAGCTGGAGATTAAAAGAAACAAAAAGATGCAGAAGAAGTACTGTATATAATAATTTCTATATATCCTCAACCTTTGTGTTTCTGTCAACTATGGCTTGCTAATTCAAAAGGTCAAATACATGAATGGGTTATATGACATTGATCTCAGAATACTTTTATGACAAACGTGATAACAGTTCAATCTTGACTAAATTGAAGATGGTTTAGAAGTTAACAATTATAAGAACTTTTCACTAACATATGCTGCTGACAAAGGAGAAAATATATGCAATTCTGCATTTTTGCTTTCTATCAAGCAATTATATGTTGGCTCCTTATCACACTATGACACTTCCGTTTTGTCACATTCCAAAAAATAACTTGAGAAATACACTGTCACTCATCTTACACTGTTATATTTACCTATTACAGAAGGCTGGAAACAAAGATTTTTTTTCAAGAAAATAAGATTTCTTGTCCAAGACACAAGGAAGTTTGACTGCAAAGCACAGATAAAAATGCGAGAATTTTTTTTTTTTTTCAGAGAACAAGGTAGTTCTACTCATGTATAAACAGAACAAATCCAATTTAATAAATCAGATATATGCGGCATGACTCCTTTTCTTCCATCCCCACTCAAAACAAGCAAACACACCTATAGAGGTTCCAGTCTGGTCTGCAAATGAAAAGGAGGAAGGTGATCACTGCAAAATTAAGCATTAGGGTTCTTATTTATAACATATTGATTATTGTATACTGATATCTAGAAATTAAGGTTGCAAGTAGCAGCCAGCTGAGTTATAGTTTGAGTTTTATCAAGTCCATTACTTTGTTAAATTTAGAGTAACCTTGTCTTGAGAGAGGAAAATTGAGGAGCTGTAATATACTTATCATCAATTAGGGACCACAAAGAAAAATTTATTTATAGACTTTTTTTGAAGGAGAGGGGTAAGACTTGTGACAAGCTGGCAGACATATAGATAAACTTTACTGCTAAATGGGTTACAATACAAAGTGCTCAGTATTTGGATCAGCTATGGCTCAACTTAAACTTTGCTTTAGCTTCAAGTTTAATCCTTTGTGGTTTCCTTTCTCTGTGTTTATTTTTCAAGTTATGTACACAGAAGAACACAAAAATGACAAGGAATGCTTTTGAATATCAAGAGGCTGGAATAAGCAAGAAACCAAAACTGAATTTTTAAACAGTACAAAGTTAATTTGATCTTCCAATGTTATTTAATTTTAACCATAGAATTTGCTATTTAAATTTATCCCCTCCATTTTTCTGGGTATTTGTGACAAAAAAACAAACAATTATCACAAAATGCATGGTATACAATGGTTTGATTCACCAATGTGGCAAAGGCCTTTCACTGTCTATCCATAAAAAGGGAAATAGTTTGTAAAATGTAAGACATTCTGCATCTTGAGTGTATACTTATTCATCCATGTGAAATTAAAGGTTACTTGAAATAAATGTGAAAGATTTATAGGATTTTCAGACCCCTGATAACAATTACTAATGTGCTGATTTGTTGTACTTAAAGGTTATGATTTTAGCGGAAATAGTGGAAGAAATTTCTGGACCTGGAATTTTGTTGCAAATGTTTGTTTAAAACAGTTTAAGTCAGTTAAAAACTCTCCTGTTTCAAGATTACATGATTACCACACCAGAACCTTTTGTATTCTATATTATACACCATGTTATGATTATGGTTTCAATAATAAAAAAAGTGCTGACTCAAGAACTTTCCAAAATATCTCTACATACAAAGAAATAGATTGTGGTTATGTACTCCAAATAACAGGTCACATCAGTCTTCTGTAAGGAAGTAGCAGAAATTTCTGTGGTGGTTTTGGTGGATGGAGAGAAACATCCACCAAAACCACTTTATTCTATGTGTTAAGAGTTATGATAATCATTATGAACGTTTGGTCGGTCAGCAATTGTGCACCATAAAAATAATTAGCCAGAGCACTAACTGCTAATTAGTGCTATAAATCTTTTGTCCCCTGAACATCTAACAGTGGCTATAGATAAAATTTAAAAAAATATATTGTTGATGGTTTTGGTCAAAGTTTTGGTGGATGTTCCCTAATGACATCCACCAAAACTACGTAACATCTAAGCACCTTTTAAATACGTGAAATATCTGCATAAAATTGCGTAAAATGTTTTATAATACTACAATCGAACAATAAATTAATACTTACCATTTCTTTAGTAAAAAGTTTTGACGCAATTTCCCAAACAAATAATACACTTGGGTCATTGGGATAAGTCGGCATGTTGTTGTAGCTTCGTAATTTTCATTTAGTATAACAAGTCATGAGTTGTCCATCATTCCATCTCAGTCCCTCTTGACCAAGGTGGTTTTGGTGGATGGAATCTAATGCTGACCCAAGAGGTCTGCATTTGTAGCCTGGCCTGTGCTGGACTCAGGGTCAAGAGGTCTGGGTTCCAGTCAATGTGTTGTGTTCTTGTGCAAAACACTTTACTCTTACAGTGTCTGTCTCCACCCAGGAGTATAAATGGGTAGCAAAAATTAGTTAGGGAAACCTGATAAAATGCAAGGGGGGTGAAAGGGAGGGGGGAGGGATAATGGTGGAATGGACTTGCATCCTGTCCAGGGTTGGGTAGTAATACTCCCAGTTGCTTCATGTAAGGAAACCAGGATTAAGGAAAGCTCAGGCCCTGGACAGGCCACTTTTCAAATCCAGATGTGACCTAAGTACCTACCCCTTAGTTTAAATGATTTAAATTGCTACTGTTACAAATTATATAAACTTGAAACACACAGATGTTGATTTTTGCCCAATTTATTTCAGTCAATTGCATAGGAATGTCTTTGGTAAATCTTGAAATTTATTGTAATGAGAAGTGAATTACTGTTTATTTAAATATTAATGCTTGTTTTCTTCAGTATATATATCTTTTGTTCTTCTACTGCTTTAAATATGCTATTAATATTAATTGTTTGTGATTTTGTGTTTATGTATCCCTCCCATTCTCAGGAGGGGAAAAATATTTAGTTTACAATTGGGTAATATGTTGAGCTAATTTTTTACCATTTGCAACCATCTTTTTTTTTTTCAGGCCAGGATGACTTAAAACAGCAACTTTTTGAAAGAAGCATCCCCTTACAGTTGCTATGGCTAAAGAAAGAAGTCCAATTAAGGTTCCATCTGAAAATGAAGACTTACCTGACAAAGAAAATGCTCCAGTTTTTGATGAGGACACTTTACGAGGTGAGCTAGGTTCAACTTTGGCTTCAGTCACTGTTAAAACATTTTCTATTCCACCAGTTTCAAGAATGTAAGCAGATGTGGAGAACAATATTAATACACTGCATGACCACCTTAAAGGATATTTGGCCAGTCATGACTCTCTTCTATGATTACAATATGCTGTTCATTGACTGAGAGGATTTATGACATATTTTTTATTTTCTTTTCTCAAATTTCAAAGCAAGTACACAAAGTTATAATAAGTAAAGACTTTATTTAATCATCATATAACATTCATTTTGTAAGTTTGCATCATAAGCACCATCATCATCATCATCATCATCTTTCCATTATATTATGCAACATTAACTTGAAAGTTTCAACTTCCCCTAAGCAACCAATTTCCAGTAGAGAGCAAGTGTTATATCATTGAATATGGAGGTGTTTAACCCTTGACACCCTAACATCAGTATCCATATTCTCCATACTATTCTTTGTATGTTTCTTGTGGTACTGAAAAAAAGAATTCATTTGAAGATCAATGCTTCTTAGGTTGGTGATCATTTCCTTTATTCTCATGAGCTTAGTGAATGATTCAGCAGTATTACTCCAAGCTTTTCAGGGGATGGGTCAAGTTAGGCAGGTGCAAAAGTGGCAGCTGGCACTAAAAAAATAATATGCAGATTTTAAATCTCCAGATCTTGACAGCTCTGCTTTTGCACTAATTAACTACAACCACAGGTAATTATTAACTACAACCACAGACTTTGACACAAATCATTTTTTATTTTTTTCTTTGCAGCCACAGCTGATGTTTATAGGAATGAGGGTAACGAGGCCTTCAAGAAAGGAGATTTCATCAATGGTATTCATTTTTACACCAAAGGAATTAAAATGAACTGCAATGAGAAAGAACTGAAGGCCAAACTGCACAACAACAGGGCTATTGCACATTTTAAACTTGGTAAGATGATTAGAGCTTTAATATGCATTTTTTTTATTTTGAAGCTAGTGAGTTGTCAGTAGTAGTTTTCTGAAAAAGGTGATGATTTTGAATGCATGCCCGGAAAAATTTACATCTTATCCTGGCCTCTCAAATATACAAAGAAGTAACCTCTTACCCCAGATATCAATGAGCATCACAAGTGTTTCCCAAAATTATAGTAATGGTAGTTGGTTTGCAACATGTATGGCTAATCATAGATATTTATTTCAATAACAGGAAATCACCAGGATTCACTAAGGGATGCAGAAGCAGCCATTGAGTTAAATCCAACTTTCCTTAAGGCAATTGTGAGAGGTTAGATATGTTAGCTGTGCTATAATAATAAAAACAAAATAACTCAACACTCTAAAGTTAAATGAGGTTAAATGGAGTTCAATCTTGTCTCAATTGACTTTAATTAAGAGGTCGAGACCACCCTGATGTACATTTGAATCCAGCTCTTGACTGCTACGCCATTGATTTCCATTAATCATGATAAGAATATTATTTTTAACGGGATGAAGAACTCAATGCGGAATGCAAAGCAAAATTTCAGCAGGAATATTTTAGTTCCTTAAGTCCAATGAGTCACAGGTGTCAGATATGTTAAGAGCGTGTCCACGAGAGCACCGGGCAGTCGTGCTACAAGCCATCTCACCGATTTCAATGAAACTTTGGCAGTTAAAAGGGTCTACCCCAAAACTCAGAGAGACAAACTGGTTTCTGTTTTGGTTCTTCCGGGGGGAGATAGACCACCCCCGGTTTTTCTTGGTTTTCACCAAGGAAATCGCTTCAAATAGGTAAAATGTATGAAGCTCTCACTGCGATGGTATCTAACCGATTACTTTGAGGATTTGCAAACATATTTTTACATCCTTAGTTAATGTCTGCTGCGAGTATCAGTCAGTTTGATTGACGGCTTGTCAATCAACAGAGGCAAATATACGACTTTGGTTTTAGACTTTTCGATTCATCCAAATATTTGACAACTTTGATGTCAAATATCTCCTGTTGCCAGAAAGCTACAACACTAATCCTAATTCACCTTTATAACCCATCATTTCATCTCTGAAAATAATCAAAAAAAATCTTTGGGCACTACCGTATTTTTTGTCTTGGATGCCTTTTAAAATCTGCGACTGTGACAAGTTTCTCTCAACTACACCTGTCACGCAATTCTTGCTCTAGGCGGTCACTTGACGAAATAAACCTACATTTTTAGCTCTTTATACAAGATGATTGATCAAGAAAGGTGAAAAATGTGAAAAAAAAACTTTCGATTGTAGGAATGGAAAATGTCAGGTTTAGAGAGATGCATGTAAACGAAAAATCAATGTGAAAATCGAAGCGTTTCTTTCTTCAGTCGTTTATTACTTTGAAGATTTGCTAAAATCAGCAGATATGTCTTTTGTACGGCACAAAACATTCATTAGTCTATAATATGATTGTTAATCATCATCATTGCTCATTTTATTTCATGCTGCGTGTTGGTTGATATTACTAATTGTTCCAGTGTGCTACAACTTCGGCTTTTACAGACGAGAAATTCTGCGCTCTCGCTCGAGAGCAAATATCAATAGTTCTATCGGACTAAAAACTGTGCTTCTATCCCGAAAATAAAATTAAAAAAATAGTGTTGTCGTTGTCACTTACCGCCATCAAACATTTCCATTCAGACCTCCGCTAAGCTAACATCTGTTGTGTGACCCGAAGACTCTTAGTAGGAATTATTCAAGCGCGTTGTTCATGCTGTCTGCTAGATAACAATTTCAGAATAATCTGCAGATCTCTATGATTATTTGCCTGCTTCGATCGTAAAATATCTGCATATTTTTTTCAAGCATTTTATTACTACACATCAATCTACATCTCTCTAGATCGAGTGTTGCCGGCGTTTAATTGCGTGACTTGTAAAATTTTTAAATAAGAATCTGAGCCAGTGATAATTTGACGATTAGCCTTCCTGCAAATTTCCCTTGATGAAATCCCAAGACATAGCCAGTTGTTTTCGTGAGCAAAGACAATAAACATGAGAGAAAAGTGAGATGCAAATGTCTTCTTTTTTTTTTAGCTTAATATCAGCTTTACCCTCTCCTGCAGTCTTCGTCTAAATTTTGCAAGGTCTCTCCTTATTTTCTGCCTTGTTCGGTCAGTTTCGAATTCTGAAGCTAGATCATTGGCATTGGCCTCTCCGTCCTTATTCATATTTACCGAGGGGGACCTCATCAATAAACCAATTTTTGTTACGACAGATAACCGGCTGAAGTATCGAGCGATTTGCTGCTGTATCAACCTGTCAGTCTTAGACAACATTTCTGGCTGGTGTCGTCTCTTAAACTCGATATTTGGGAAATCACATTAGAGGCGGTTGCCTTACTAGTTTCCTCCCTTGTCCAGCACACGTTTAGGGAGATAATTCTCTGCTTTTCTGAGAAAAGGTGGCTGTTTTTGTGTTTTCCAAAGAGCCCATCCAAAGTCCTCTTGGCTAGTTAGGGATTGTTTGTCAGAATTTTTACCTGACCGACCTGGAACGTAGCCATCCCTATAGAATGGCAAGCCGATCTTAGTCCATTTCCTCTTGATCTTATCCTAGGCGGAATTTTTTGTCGGCCTCACTGTTTTTGTCTTTGTCAGGGTACATTTGGATGGCAGCCAATGACTGAAACGTCTTGATACATCCTTCTTTTAGCAAGAATATCTCGCTTTCTTGTTCCGTTTATGACGGACTGGGTATAGCTCTCGCGATGACCCGCGTTCAGAAATCTGTGCACGTTGCTGATAACCACCCGCTTCTACGATTAGTTTCCTGAAGGTTTCTAATGTCACGAGCCTAGTGAGACCCTGAGGTGCTTCAAACTGTGCCAGTTGGTCTGCGCTATAAACTTGTCGCAGTTCTTAAGTCAGAGGGAGGATCGCCCACCTCTATCTATGTGAGCGCCTCTACAGTACCTGCGTATCCCTAGCAATCATATGATATAAAGTTCATCTCAGTCACAAATCACCAGTTAGGAAAACTGATGTTCATATAAGCGCTGTTCTTGCCCTTCTTCGTTATTCATTGTCGACTCTAAGATAGCAGCTACAGTACGCGTTCTATTTAGGTTTACGGTCACCTTGCCGCCACCAGGAAGACTCGCCACCAGCTTTGATTTCTTCTGCCATCTGCAGATTCATCTCTCTCACTTTATGTCTCTGATTTTTATGAGGAGGATACTGGCATTTACGAACCCGAAGGTCTGAATCTCACACCAAGTTGTGCACGATATTTGAGGTACATCGTGAAATCGCGGCCTTCGTAATCTCCAAATAAGCCAATACGCGCTAGAATAAGCTCCATCTCGGACGAAACGCATGTTTGGGATACATCGACGTCTCTCAAATGTTTTTTTAAAGCTGTATACCCACGAATTTAGAGGTGTGAGCTGTTGCCGTCCCTGGCCAGCGCGAGAAAAATAACTTGGTCCTACAGTTAGTTGCAAATGAACAAGACAACTGCACCATCTTGACTTTATCAATTCGAGTGTTAGTTAAATTTAGGGCTTTTTAGACACTCGATTTCTTATATGACATCACCATTAAGACGTAATACAACTGATACACCTACACTACATAGGATTAACAATGTCTGTTGCGCTGTTACAAGAAGGAGGAAAATATTACCGGAAGTGTAAACTCTTTTTAAAAAGAGTTTCAGAGACGTTTCAGAGATGTCTATCTTTGATCGGCTGCCACAAAAAAAAATGACCCCCACTTAAATTTACTAGGAAAAATGACCTTACCAACTCCTTGTTGAAAAAAATTGCAATTCATTTGACCGATACGCCGGTTGTTTCAATTTTTCTTTTTTCCTCGGGCTGCTATGAAACAGTTCATAAATTGACTAATGAATAAAGTGTTTTGAAATACCGTTCGGGATTTGCCTTTTTTTTTCTGCGTGCAAATCAAGGGTAGACAAAGTTTTTAAAACATTTGACTAGAATTTCATGGACTTCACCTCGATAATTTTCGTCGGCCAGAGTCAAGACGCGCCAAGCTAAGCGACATCGCCTTCCAGTAAAAAAATTTTCCAAAGAATAAACGTGGCGAGCGTGAGGAAACGCACATTTTTTTCATCATTGTGATCAAAGCCCAATGATGTACCTAAATTGGTACTTACGGTATCAAACCATTGATTATGACAGGGTGAGCTTAGTTTTTCTGTCGAGGTCGACGTGACTTCACATAAAAAGCATTTTTGACGGAACAAACTAGTGAGCATCACTGCATGAACTGAGAAAGTAAAAACTTGTATTTATCTCCCACGCGTTTCGTCTGACAATAGTAGACTTCATCAAGGATTTTTTCAAGTAGGGTAAATAAGCTTGCTCATATACAACTAGTAAATAAGTTGTGTCTTTACTATTGAAGTCAGTGGATAGAATACGCCAGGTGCGCCTACGGTGTTATACATGCATGACATTTTCTGGACGTTACACGTACGAGTACGTGATCCGTTTAAGGGTCACAGATTTAGTGTAAATATTTCACTCCTCAACATCACCCAATGTCTCTCGTTTACAGAGGTCTTAGAACGTTTCATTATATTGAGTTGCCTTCTGCGGGTAGAAGGCTACAAGCGAATTTCTTAGGCGTAATTGCTTTTGATTTCTCAATTGATGTTGTCCCAAACACAGTTTTTGGGAGTCACGAGACAAAAAAACTTATCAGGACCTAGTTTCATCTTCTAATGGAAATAAATAGCAAATAAAAACACATTTTCTTGAGAAATAAAGTCACAAATGACGGGGGTTCTCTGAAACAAATATTGATAGAGAAGGATTTCAGTTCTGGTCAATATTGACTTTTCATGGCCTACTTCCAAATCTGAGGGAACGTGCTGAGGGAATAAAAACATAAATGTGTGATAATGCAAGCAGGAGAATGAAAATACAAATAAAGAAAAAGGAGAACACATAGGAACCCGTGTTGCAGCGTGCAGATATCTTTTGAACCAGACCTACACACATAAGCCCGACACCAGCCAGAGAAACTCGAAAGAGTCCTGTATATGAACTAGCTCGCACTTGCACGCAGGAAAGGCCATGACAATCAGCGAAAATAATAGCAAATGCAGATGATATTTGCAGTCAAAAAACAGGAAAATAAGATAACAGAAGGATTAGGAACTTTCTAAAAGTGTCTTCTTGAAAAAAAGATGAACAATTTTTACTTCTCATAAAAGGTCACGCTGTAACCCTACAAATACTATTCCTATACGTGGAATTTCTTGATGGTGGAAAGTGGAATAAACATTTTCCAGTCTTTTTTTCTGGAAACATGGCGTAGTTAATGAACTTATGGGGCTATTGATATTTCTTAACAAATAAGGGGGCAGAGTTTCCCGTCATTCGCGGTATGGAAAAGCCGAAGTTGTTACACTCGGGAACTTGTACGTCAACAAGCAGGCGACATGCGACTTTAAAATCTCCTCTCCTGTTACAGTTTCCTTATGGTAAACTGTGCGATAATGATAATAGACGATCAAAGTATAGGCTAATGAATGTTTTGTTCTGTACAAGAGCCCTATGTCCTGATTTTAGCAAATCTTCAAAGTAATAAACGACTGAAGAAAGAAACGCTACGATTTTCCCATTGATTTTCCGTCAACATGCATCTCTCCAAACGTGAAATTTTCCATTCCTACAAAAAATCTCGAAAGATTTTCACATTTTTCACCTTTCTTGATCAATCAACTTGTATAAAGAGCTAAAAAATTTAGGTTTATTTTCTCAAGTGACCGCCTAGAGCAAGGATTGCGTGACAGGTGTATTTGAGAGAAACTTGTCACAGTCGCAGATTTTCAAAGGTATCCAAGACAAAAATACGGTAGTGCCCAAAGATTTTTTTGATGATTTTCAGAGATGAAATGATGGGTTATAAAGGGTAATTAAGATTAGTGTTGTAGCTTTCTGGCAACAGGAGATATTTGACCTCAAAGTTGTAAAATATTTAGATGAATCGAAAAGTCTAACAAAACCATCGTATATTTGCCTCTGTTGATTGACAAGCCGTCAATCAAACTGACTGATACTCGCGGCGGCCATTAAGTAAGGATATAAAAATATGTGTGCAAATCTTCAAAGTAATCGGTTAAGTACCATCGCAGTGAGAGCTTCATACATTTAACCTATTTGAAGCGATTTCCTTGGTGAAAACCAAGAAAAACCGGGGGATGGTCTATCTCCACCCGGAAAAAACCAAAACAGAAACCAGTCTGTTTTTTTGAGTTTTGGGGTAGACCCTTTAAACTGACAAAGTTTCATTGAAATCGGTGAGATGGCATGTAGCACGACTACCCGGTGCTCTCGTGGACACGCTCTTAAGTCACTATCTAGCTGTTTTAAAAAGAAGGATCAGGACTTACCTAACTTTTAGTGTTTTTTTGGGAGTTGTTGATCCTAATTTAAGTGTTCTTAGAAGTTTCAGTTGTCTGTAAAGCTAAATAAATCTAACTGAAACCTAATAGGAACTGTTTATTCTTTTCCGTTTAGTTTTTTTGTATTGCTTTGTTTTGTATTTTTTTCCTTCTGGTCTGTAATGATTTCAATAGTTTCAGGTTCTTTTCTCAGAATTGAGCTACAGTAATAGTATGCTTCTGTGTGTTGTTGCCTACAGGAGCCACTGCTTGTGTTGAATTGAAGAGATTTGAAGAAGCAATCACTTGGTGTGATAAGGGACTAGCTGTATCCTTTGATGGCATCTTTCATTTTTAACCGTGGGTATAATGGAAAAAAGTTTCCAGCTCCTATACTTTCAAGGGAGAAAATACAAAGAAGGGTATTAATTATGATGGGAACTTGTCAGCTCATATACTTTAAGTGTGTGGGATTAAAAACATAGGAGAAGTTATTACCTCATGACTTAATAATGAAATTACTCCTTTTAGCCAATTTGACTTAGTTCTACTATCCATGCCAATAACTGGTACATTAGTTTAAATAACCCTTTAATTTCCCAGACCAAATTTGTAATGATCCTTACTGTCAACCATAAAATTCTTGTAATGTTAGTACAGAGAATTCAGTATTTTACTCTCAACACTTATTTGATTGATATTGTATTGCTATTGTAAGGAGAAATTCTCTTTTGGTCACTCACGGGAGTTAAAGGGTTAGAAGACTAATATTCATCCAGTTTATACATAGTACTTGGGTAGATGATCTCTCTAAAACAAGCCAGAACAAAAAGTTCTTTAATGTTTACATAACTTATGCAGATTTCTGCCTTCGACCTTTTGCCTCTACTTAGAGACTCAGAAACTTTCGTTGTGCTTTCCTATGGACAAATAAAAATTTTAAAGATATGTATTTATTTTATGTATTTTTGTTTTTTCCACATTTTTAACCCTTAACATAAAAAAGATTGACAAAAACAATAGGATCTTGTCGTCATTAAGACTTCAGTCTGTCAGTGAAGTGGGAGATAAGTCCATGGAGGAAAAAGATCCTATTAGTCACGACCACGGTAGTACAAGTTCAGGTGATGTCAAGAAAGTCATAGATCTCTATAATCAGGGAAAAGAAGCCATAGAGTACCACAACCTATATCTTAAACAAGCTAAAGAAGTAGGAGACAAGCATGGGGAGGGCAACGCTTATGGCAATCTTGGCAATGCTTATTTTAGTCTGGGTGATTACAAAAAAAAAATAGAGTACCACAACCTACATCTTAAAATAGCTAAAGAAGTAGGAGACAAGCATGGGGAGGGTGCTGCTTATGGAAATCTTGGCAATGCTTATCACCGTCTGGGTGATTTCAAAAAAGCCATAGAGTACCACAACCTACACCTTAAAATAGCTAAAGAAGTAGGAGACAAGCATGGGGAGGGTAACGCTTATGGCAATCTTGGCAATGCTTATTTTAGTCTGGGTGATTTCAAAAAAGCCATAGAGTACCACAACCTACATCTTAAAATAGCTAAAGAAGTAGGAGACAAGCATGGGGAGGGTGGTGCTTATGGCAATCTTGGCAATGCTTATCACCGTCTGGGTCATTTCAAAAAAGCCATAGAGTACCACAACCTACATCTTAAAATAGCTAAAGAAGTAGGAGACGGGCATGGGGAGGGTAACGCTTATGGCAATCTTGGCAATGCTTATTTTAGTCTGGGTGATTTCAAAAAAGCCATAGAGTACCACAACCTAATTCTTAAAATAGCTAAAGAAGTAGGAGACAAGCATGGGGAGGGTAACGCTTATGGCAATCTTGGCAATGCTTATCTTAGTCTGGGTGATTTCAAAAAAGCCATAGAGTACCACAACGTAGATCTTAAAATAGCTAAAGAAGTAGGAGACAAGCATGGGGAGGGTAACGCTTATGGCAGTCTTGGCAATGCTTATTTTCGTCTGGGTGATTTCAAAAAAGCCATAGAGTACCACAACCTACATCTTAAAATAGCTAAAGAAGTAGGAGACAAGCATGGGGAGGGTGCTGCTTATGGCAATCTTGGCAATGCTTATGACCGTCTGGGTCATTTCAAAAAAGCCATAGAGTACCACAACCTACATCTTAAAATAGCTAAAGAAGTAGGAGACAAGCATGGGGAGGGTAACGCTTATGGCAATCTTGGCAATGCTTATTTTAGTCTGGGTGATTTCAAAAAAGCCATAGAGTACGACAACCTACATCTTAAAATAGCTAAAGAAGTAGGAGACAAGCATGGGGAGGGTAACGCTTATGGCAATCTTGGCAATGCTAATGACCGTCTGGGTGATTTCAAAAAGCCATAGAGTTTACCTCAACCTACATCTTAAAATAGCTAAAGAAGTAGGAGACAAGCATGGGAGGGTAAGTTTTTTATGGCAATCTTGGCAATGCTTATTTTAGTCTGGGTGATTCAGGCAAAAAAATCTTTGGGTTGTGTCCGAAGGAAAACAAGTAGTTACCACAACCTACATCTTAAAATAGCTAAAGAAGTAGGAGACAAGCATGGGAGGGTTCTAATGTGAGATGCGAGAAACCGATCTTTAATGCTTTATCACCGTCTGGGATGATTTCAAAAAAGCCATAGAGTACCTCAACCTACATCTTAAAATAGCTAAAGAAGTAGGAGACAAGCATGGGGACTTGGTTGGTGCTTATGGCAATCTTGGCATTCCTGATGTTAGTCTGGGGATTTCAAAAGCCATTGAAGGATGGTCAACCTACATCTTAAAATAGTTAAAGAATAGGAGACGCTCCATCGGGAGGGTCTAAGACTCATGGCAATCTTGGCATTGCTTATCACCGTCTGGGAGATCCGTGGGTATCCGAGGTTACTAACAGCGAGGGAAAGAAAGTCTTCGAGCAGCTTCAGTATGCTAAAAAAGAAGTAGAAATGATCGAAAAATTCTGAATATCATGCCAATCACTGGCAGACAGGCCACGAAACGTGAGGTGTTGAAAAGACTCAGTTCCGTTTCCCTAGTTCACTTTGCGGCACACGGATGTATGGAAACTGGCGAAATTGCACTTACACCTGACCCAGACCGAATATCTACTGTGCCAACGGAGGAGGATTACATTTTAACAATTGGAGATGTGTCGAATGCTCAACTTCGGGCCAAACTTGTTGTGCTTAGTTGCTGCCACAGCGGCCGGGGCGAGATCAAGGCTGAAGGTGTGGTTGGCATGGCGCGAGCTTTTATGGGGGCTGGTGCTCGGTCTGTTGTGGTGTCCCTGTGGGCGATTAATGACGAGGCTACTCTTGAGTTCATGAAACACTTTTATCAACAACTTGCAGGAGGTAAACCAGCAAGCGAGTCACTGAATCTGGCCATGAAAAGCCTCAGAGAATCAGACAAGTTCGGCGACATCAAACACTGGGCGCCCTTTTTGCTGATTGGAGATGACGTCACTCTTGACTTCATGGCAAAGGAAAGGGAAAATTTGAATATGAAATCACATAAATGAAAACTTTTTATTTCATCTCAAAGTGAATGACGCAGGAACTTGAAAGGTTTAAATGCTTCTCCATTTTGGCGCTTTTTGGCTATTTTTCATTACTTTTCACTTTTTTGTTAAATGGAACTTGAGATGTGTTATTTTACTTTGATGAAGAAATAAAACAGACTATTTCAGTATATTTTGTTCACTGGAATTGCTATTTTTTTTTCTTTACAAATTTAGATGCTTGCGAAGAGAACAAGATGCAACAAGGCTTCTGCTGTTAATGCCTGAAGTTTTTGAAGACGACTACGAGGTTTTCGTTTCGCCAAAATGACACTCAGATCTATTCCTTTATTGCAATCAGTTATATGTAAAATAATTTAAAGGTTTTTTTTCTTGTACACAACCAAGAGCTTGTCCACTGGGTTTTAATTACGTTGATACTCTAAGCTTTTGATAAGCAAAGAAACAGTTTGTCATTTGCAAAAGGTGGCGAAATTTTAATTTCAAAAATGTGATTTGCAAAATTCGCAGCCATATGTGAATTGATCTTAATGGTTTTTCAACGTCATAAATTACTTTGTTGCAATTTGCAATTATCTTTACAAAAAAAATTGATTATCATTTTCAACCTTTTTTTTTCAATCCATTTTAATGCAATCTAATTCCATCAGTGCCAAGATTGCCATTCTAAGCTTAATTTGAAGAAGTAATCATCAGAGATGATGTTGTTGAATTTACTGACCATATGTTAGAGACATTAGACCTACTATCAGGGGTGTGGCCAGCCTCTAGTCCTGTGGGCCCGGCCTACAATTGTTTTCCGCCCGCTTGACTTTTCTAATATGACTCTTACAAATGCTGAAACAAAAATTGAAATTTCTCAGCAAAAAGGCCTACAACAAGTCAAAGAGCTGGCTACAACGGCCTGCTTTCAATCAAACGAGTTTGATCAATTTTAGTCCATTTTATCAAACACTCGTCAGTTTGTTTTAGAGAACGACAACAGAGACAAATTGTCCATGTAATCTAAACAAGGAAATAGCGAAACAGAGTTTATTTTAACTAAAGTTTCCATTGCTGTGACTTTTAATGTGTGTGACATGGAATTTGTTGTTTTCATTAGGAAAATATTTACGCCAATAAATTAGGGAAACACTTGAAGTGAGCCATGTAGTCCTCAATGGGAATTATTTTGGTGAAAATGTTCATGAATAATGTAAATCTAGGCCGTAGTTAAAAAGGTTCAGGGCTTCAGGATAAAACTTGCATTTTTTTTTTGAAAATTTGCTGTTCAAATTTTTTTCATGGCTTTAAATTTACTTTAGTATAATTTGGAGATGTCTGATGATATCTTTCTTAGATTTAAGAATTTATACTTAGGTATTCAGAGCACGCTTTGTAATAAGAACCCGTTATGTGGTCAAAAGTTTAAGGTATACTGTATCACAGCTGTTTTAAAAGAAATTTTTGTCAAATCAATGTTAATTTTTGACAGATTTCATAACTACCATTGGTATATGCTGCTATAAAATTTAATAGTTAACCTTGCACATGGTGTAATATGATGTAACGTAGGATTTTAAAAACAAGCTGGGACAATTTCGACTAAGCATTCTTTTTATAATGTCAGTGTATTTGGTGTGAATTGTTTTGATGCTATTTGTATTTAAAGTTGAAGCTATTTCTTCATTTACCAAAGTTTTTATTCATTGACTCATTAACTCCCAAGTTGTGAAGAAAAATTCTCCCAACTGATAAGAATGTGTTTCTTTGTTGCTTTACTCTGAGAATTCGATGAAACATAACGTTTCTAGTGAAAAATGATCCGCTAGTTTAGATTTTCTCTAATTCTTATTGACACCATGTTTGTCGGTGCATTAATTTTGCGAGGAGAATTTAAGTTATGATCAATCTTGGGAATAAATGGGTTCATTTTAGTGTCTCTGTTTAGCGCGTACTTTACTTAATGCCTTGGACAATTTAATGCAGTCTGTATTGTACTTTTTTTTTATTTTTTTGTGTAAGAGAAATAGAAAGTGTATAAAATACAAAAACTGCGTTTGTTTTCATTGTCTGTCTCCGTATTCTAAGGATTCGCGTGAGATGCAGGGAGAACATATCCTTCGAGGACTTCAATGCTTGTTTTGACCCGCGCGCGCCAAGTTGATAATCTTTGCAGCTGACATTCCATGTTTCAGCAGGCCAATCCAAAGACTTCTCCGAGTCGGTAGCCGTCATCTTGGATGTAGATGCAGAGAGGACCTTGAAAAAGTGTTTTTACAAGACAATAATCAAGAAAGGTTAAGTTATTGTAATGATTCCTAAGAGGTAGTCGATAACAGCCCGAGAGATTCATTAGGAGCAAACACGTTCCGTCGATTACTGGACTTTATGTCTCCTTACGTTGTAGAACAAACTCCTCGAATACGTACGCCTATATGCCCCTCTCCTCCTCCCTAAATAGCACTATACATCCCTTTATTGCAACTTTTAAAATTATACAGCACAATACAACATTATACCCCTGAGTAGCACTGTAAATCCGTGAAATGAAGTAACTGTGCAGCGCATCACAACAATATGAACCCCTAAATAATACTATGCTTCCCTCTACTGAATTTTTTCACCATACAGCGCTCTATAAACTATTGCTCCAATTTGGCACGAAAATAATTGTGGATATTTGTCCGCGGACATCATCTATTCCAAGATGCCAAAACTGTGAGCTTCGAAGGACAATGTCCAAGGACAAATATCTGAACATATTTTCGTGCAAAAGAGAGGCTATTGTGATTTTTATCCTTCAATTATTTTGCAACGCTCGTGAAAGAATCTTTATGAACAGCTCACTGAATTGAATTAAATTTGAAACGAAGACTTATCGAGGTAGACGTAAGGTTTGCAAATTGGGGAATATCGCTTGCGTGATATTCTCGGATACCACCCAGTATTAGCTGGGGGATATTTAGTCATTTGCGGCATTTACACCAATTGCACGCGAGCAAAAATATTTGATGGATCATAAAAAGCAACAAGTACCCCTAGATAGCACTATACTTCCCTCTTCCACAATTTACATCACAATACAGCGCTATAAAACAACATGTACCCTTAAATAGTACTATACTTATCTCTTCTGCAGTTTACATCACTATACAGCGCTATACAACAATATGTACCCCTAGATACCACTATACTTCACTCTTCTGCACTCTACATCACGATACAGCGCTATAAAACAACATGTACCCTTAAATAATACTATACTTCTCTCTTCTGCAGTTTACATCACTATACAGCGCTATACAATAATATCTACCCTTAGATAGCATTATACTTCTCGCTACTGCAGTTTACATCACTATACAGCGCTATACAACAATATGTACCCCTAGATACCACTATAGTTCACTCTTCTGCACTCTACATCACGATACAGCGCTATACAACAATATCTTCCCCTAGATAGCATTATACCTCTCGCTACTGCAGTTTACATTACTATACAGCTCTATACAACAATATTTACCCCTAAGTAACCTTGATCGGCATAACAGAATACATACATCGAAATTTTCCATGCTTTGTGTCTTTCTACAAGGTTCATTAAATACTCGATGAAAACCTTTGCGTCGTTCAAAGAAAACGCAGCATTTTCCAGCGCATTCGTGACTCGTTTGACGTGAAGACACAGAGATGGCGAGTTGATTAATGCTTTAAATTTCAAACTCTTAAAGGCGGGAAATATTTCTGAAACAAAATCATCCACGAACATCACTATTAATTCTGAATAAGGTAAATTCGATTCGCGTTTACTTTAGATAATAAATTTTTACTCCCATTTTGCCAATCATACAAA